TTCTGCATTGACCTTTTAAACGAGTGCGCTGAAAAGCTTGAATTCAATTACACCGTGCATCCTGTGCCAGACGGTAACTACGGCACAGCGAAAGTCATTGACGGGCATGAAGTGTGGGATGGAATCATTGGACAACTCCAATTCCGTGTAAGTATAGCTAAAATGCTGGAGTTTGCACCCATTGGATAGATAAACGATCTCACAAAACAGATGGCAAGTTCCGTTACCCAACAATCGTATTACCCAAACTCAATGCAATTTCTTGTCTTTTTTAGAAAGCTGATTTGGCTGTAGCTATGCTGACAATAAACCATGAAAGGGAACGAGTCATCGATTTTACGACGCCTTTTATGAACCTTGGGATGAGCATTATCTTCAAGAAGCCGGAACAGAAGAAGCCCGATCTTTTCTCCTTTCTGCGACCTCTTTCGCCCGCGGTCAGTTGGCTTATTGCGTTCTACTTGTTTACTATTATTATCATTTATTTTTACGCCTTTGCAGTGTTGCATAGTGCCAATGCATTAGTCTTTCCGACTAGCTATGGTCTTGCAAATCGCTTTCTTTTACAGGCGGTGCTTCCAAAATTAGAAGCCGCAGCTACAGCATTCCTTACTTCTGCCTTAGTTTCCAGTTTCCACTAACCTCTTCGAAAGTGATCAGCAATTTCACTTATTTGAATCTTAATTTCACAAATATTCAGCCAGACAAACGTTATTTTAAATAATATCTCTGGTTTTCGTGAATGAAGGGGCCATCGCGAATAGCTGAGTTTCTATTTCGACATATCCAAACCAACTATGACTGATCACTTTCATGCTCAACGCGATCCAACTTCATTCAGAGCTTTGTGATGACTAAAATCACGGCGTTAAATGGATGCATGTCAGTATTACTATGAATTGTGGTAAGTAAAAGCTGTAAAAGTACTACAGCTGTACAAGCATGCTGTCCATTGTATCATTTTCACGAGGAAAATCCTGCAGGTATTCGTGGCAGACTAGGTCCAATTGTTTGTGAACAACGCACAATACGGACGGCTTACATCATTTTGGATGAAGTCGTGTTTCTCATTGACGCACTTTTGCGAAGGCAGAAAGAATGCCTAAATATACCACATAATGGGGAACACTCCTTATTTCTTATCGGCATGATGTTCGGTTCTGTCTCAATTCGTATGAATCCGAATCGAGCAATGCATCCTTTGTTGCAGTCCGTCATTTTTCTTGTAAAGAAATTATCTTGTCTGCTCAATGCCGACATGCATATTTGATCACTTCTTCGTGAATCAAATACCACCGTAAGATAATAATTGAAGATTTAAGGACGGTTTCATTAACACTCAAACGTACCTCGAATATAGAAAGGATCCGGAACTATCAGTCAGACTTTTCGCCTGCTGACACATCTCATTGTAAATTAAGACGATGAATTAGTGTATCCGTCCATGCCAGAATTGTGGTTATTTTACCTTGAGGTGGTCACTTCCACTCACTGAGTATTTTCTAGCTTAAGTCAACCAGAACAATCGACCCAGTACCACTCATCTATCCGTCTGTCTTTGAGACAGAGGGACGAATAGAAGGACGATGGAATGGACTTTTGCACTCACAAATAGACTACTGCTACGGCTACTTGGATAGCTGCTTCTTAAATATTCAAAAAAGAGCAGGCCCG